TGCGCCACCCAGGCGCCCCTATGTTCCCATTTTAAAAATGAGAAAACTGAAGTTAAGAGAGGTTATAAACTTGTTCAGGGTCAGATAGTAGTAAGTGATGGTCAGGATTCAAACACAGGGCTGTCAAGTCCAGAAGCCCCACTCTGTCCCGTGTAGCCTCCCTCATGTGACAAACGGTAAAATAGAATTTGAACTACTTATTAGTTGGTGAAGAGACAGGATTGGTACCTTCAATTCCACAAGCATTGTGTGCGATTTCAGAGGAGAGAATTTGAATGACCTTAGAAATCTCAGGGAAGTAGATTTTTAGCTCAACAGAACATCTCAGTGACAGTAATAATTGGGTAGGAAGCCAACTCCCCCATGCCTGGAGGTATTCAAGCACGGCCTAGAGAGGCATTTGCTTGCAGTGGGCAGGAGATCTGGCAGGAGGACCTCGAAGTTCACTTTTGACCCGGAGGTTCCTTGAGCCTATGAAGGTGCTTGGCACAAACTGATCAATCCCTTCAAAAGAAGTGATGAAAATAACTGTTGATATGTCTATTTGCAGATACAAAAAATTATACGCGCAAGGTACACATATTTGTCCAGAGAAGACTAAACACAGAAAATGAAATGGATTCTGCTGAAGGTACACATATTTGTCCAGAGAAGACTAAACACAGAAAATGAAATGGATTCTGCTGGAAATGCTTACAGGTTAAGCTTTTATTTTCTGAAACCAAGAAAGCAAACTCTGGGAAGATGTACAATCTCAGAAATAATCAAAGGAAATATGAGGTACTAGTTTTCACCTAGTAAGTTGGCAAAATAATTTAAAACATGGTCACACACTCATTATATGTATCAAGAATGATAAAAAAAAATGTCATTCTTTTTGACCCAGGTAAAATGACCTTAAGAAAATGATAGAAAATATAAAGGGAAAAAACCGTGCACATGAAAATCTTCCCCTGAGTTTTATTTATAAACAACCTAAAAATTTAAGGAAGAGCAATGGGCCCCTGGGTGGTGGGCCTGAGGCTGGGGCTTTTCTGGGAGGAGAGCTGGGAGGTGGGGAGGGGGCCTAGCTGGTACACACAGGAAAAGGCCATGAGCATGGAGCGCTGTGGGATAAGCGCAAGCTGTCTGGAGGGCCAAAGGCAGGTATAAAAGCCAAAGTCGCCGTGTAAGAGGTCAGAGCAGGTTGGAGACTGGACTGAGGCACACTGGGGGGAGGACTTGAAAGGGTGTGGGGAGAGAAGAGGAGAAGAATGTCAGCTCTAACCTTGGTGGCCCTTTATCCTCTCTGGCCTGGCGCTTTAATTACGTTCAGTACTTCTAGCAACACCACAATGGGATGTTATTTCCTCCATTTTGCAAATGAAGAAGCTGGTGTTCAACAAGATGACTGCATAACTCACATCAAGTGAGGTAGTAAGTGCTAGAGTTGGGAACTGAACTCGAATGCATTGACCTCTAGACTTAGGCTCTCGCTCCTGTCCTCGATGGACCAATTTGTGTAGTGGGGCCTCTCAGGGGCTGGCAGCCCTCCTCCTTAGCCCCACAGCCCAGCAGATGGCTTACTCGACTGTAGCTTGATGTCTGTCTGCTTGGTGATGTTGGAATTGATGGTTAAATTTCCTGGAGCAACAGGGAAACACGATCCAATGGAAAGGGAAGGATGCAAACCTGATCATATGCTATGATCGCAGTGTGTACAATACATTCTCTCAGCCTTGAGAGACTACAAGAGATCTATCACAATGCTTACAGGAGCGTAATTTTGGAATGTTTCCCTATTTTTCCAAAAATTTCTATGAAGTGTTTTTTATTTCTTTACAATTACAAAAGAATGTCATAATTTAGAAATGCATTCAAGAAATCCATGGGCACTTAATGGTCACTAAGTCCATTCCTCAGGTAGAAGATAAAAACAAACCACATCTTTCAGTTTCATCTGGTAACAGAGAACTTGTTGCCAGGGTTTCTGAACAGTGCCCAAACCTCATCAATTCAGACTCTGCCAGTTGAGTCCTGACTGTCTTGTCCTACATGACTCACTGGCCTGTCACAAGAATCAAAAGAAAGAACCTAAGTGTAAAAGTGAGGGGATACTTACTGGTGCCTGAACTGAAAGTCACCTTCTGCCTCATGTCCAACTAACCAGCACTTGGCAAACATGAAAGAGGGACTCTAGACAAGCTTTTAGGGCAGGTCCTCAGTTATTTAATACTCTCAGTTGCAAATATCCTCAGGCACTTTAAAAGGAACATGTCTTTTTACTTTGGAAACACTCTTCTTCCTTGGTTAAATCAAATCTTCTAACGACTTCTAGTAGACTAGTATTATTCAAGAGTGGCACTTATGTTCAAATACACGTCCCCAGCCCCATCCCAAACTTACTGATTCGAGCTCACTAAGCCACGACCCACAAGTCTATATTTTAAACACCTCAGCAAATTCTTAATATTGAACATATTTGGGAAACTCTCCACTATACAAAATGAATTTGAGTTTTGTGTATGTGTTTAATGTAATAAAACTATGCATCCTTTTAAACAGTACTATAGCTCCTTCACATGGCTTGAATTAATGAGACTGGTTACTTTCCATTGATTACTTAGGTTGGGTCTCTCTAAATATACCCTCAAATTACATGCTTAGAGTCTCAGCCCAGACCATTACATCCCACTCATCTTACAAGGAAGAGGTAAAAGGGTAGATTTTGTACAGACCCAGATTCTGATCCAGCTCCACTGCTGACAAATCTGAGACCTTGGCCAACATGTTATTTAATCTTTTCTGAGCCCATTTCTTCATTAGTATGGGTACGGGTATTATGGTCTTGCCCTTGCATGACAGTAACAGGGCATTGAGTACTCAAGAGGGGCTCAAAACCATTTCAGTCTAACTCGAGTATGCACCTCTCCAGATTCCCCAGCAGAATTGGCTTTTATGTCCTTCCTTGTCACATCCCACTTCTGATTCTATTCTGCCTTATAAGCTAAAAGTAACTAACATCTTTGTAGCTCTTTGAGATTTCCAGAGCCCTTTATCCAGATGTTACCTATCATCCTCTCCACAACTAACCTGAGTTAGGGATCATGATCTCCACTTTAAAAGAAATGAGCCCCAGAGAGGTCAAATGACCTTGACAGAAGTGGCAAAGTCAGGACTTGAACTCAGATCCCAGAATCTTTCACACCTTGTTCAGTCCCTAATGTGTGCATTGTACATTACATAAAGCACTCACATCTCTCATAGCGTTTTTAAATATATATTTCCATGACTATTTCCCCCACCAAATTAAAAGCACTTATAAAGCAGGTACGACATTGTAATGGTCTTTGAAGGTAAATGCAGTTTTCAGGTGTGTCTTCACCATGGTTAGGGAGAAAAGGGGATGAGCTCAAGAATAATGCATACTTCTTCCGAGTCCCTCATGCATCCTGCACTACTCATGCCCAAGCTGCCTCATGCTTTGAAATGAACCCATCTTAATAACATGAATTTATTGAACACTACTAAGTGTAACGAACTTTGCTCATGAAATGAGTTAAACTATGTCAGTTAGAAAAGTCCTGTTGTTGTTATTATTTAGTTATCCATATAGCCCATGAGGCAGACATTATTTTCCTCATTACACCGATAAGGAACCTGAGAAGTTAAGTGATCAATCCAAGATCACACTGCTAGTTTGTGGAAAGTTGGGGAAATACCATAAAAGGAAACTCACATGTACACATCCTATTAGCAAGCATACAATATTTCACATGACAAAGGGTTATTTTATTTACTAAAACAAAATCCTTCAAAGAGGCAGCCACTTCCCCTACTTATCCCAGTGACCCTGACCTTTGGCTTAGAGACCACCAGAGAAACCAGGGGCCGAAGTTTTCCAACCAATGCCTAAAAGCCAATGACCAGAAATGAAGAAAATAACAATCGCCAACATTTATTGAACACTTTATATATAGATATATAATCCTTATAGCAAGTCTGTAAGGTAGATATAATCTCCTTTTTACGGAACAGCAAATGGAAACTCAAGAGGTTAGGTTAAACCCAAAGCAAGCAGGGGAGCCAGGAGTGGAACCCAGGTGCTCAGCCCCAAACCCTTGCCATTTCCAATATACCATGCTGACTTCACAGGCATTACAGAAAGTGCAAATCAACAGGAAGATCGAATGTGGTTTGCCAGATTGTGCACCAGGCACCTTAGAGAATCAGTTACTGAATGAGATAAAAATTATGTAACTTGAAAGATCATTTTAGATATAAAAGGATAAACGAACTGACGCGAGGTGACACTGCCCCCTGCTTCCTGAAGGTAACGCTGGGCCACATCTCACATTACCGCCCCCTAACACCCTTTTACAGAGACTGATTCAATTTATCAAGGAAGTTGGATCTCAGATCATCTTGAGTGAGAAAGGCATCTGTCTGGTCCTAAGATCTGTCCTTTGAAGTGAGAGGAAGTAATTTGCTTCCGAGACAGCCCTTGAGATCTGCAGACAGCAACCCCTCCCCTTATGAATTTTCTTGCTTTTGGCCTGAGTGTTCCACCTCTCAAAGGACACTGGTCACCTCCACTGTCCACTTACTATACTTAAATAAATGAGGATAATGATTGTCTACATCAAAGAATTAATGAAGCTTTATTATAGAACAAAATAGAGGAACAGAGATAGAAGTCCTTGAATGGTAAAAATATTAGTTCAAATTCTCAGTCAAGTGATAGGCAACTCAGAGACACTTTATCCCCTTCCAAAAAAGACAGTGCTTTCCCCATCCCCAGAATGACACTGGTGCCAAGTTGCTGCCTGAGTCTCAGCAAATCCATTTGACTTCTTTGGAATGGGAAGTCCAAGTTCAGGGCAAGCCGACGACCCTGGAAACCTGCTGGCTCCCTGCCCACATGCCACCACGCACGGTGGGGTCTCAACTGGACAGCACCATTGCCCGCAAATCACAAGCCACGCAAGAAAAACGATAAGGCTTTATGAAAAATCCAAAGTTTATTGCAAATTGTATTTTGCTTCCCTTCGTTCTTCATTTTTACAGGATTTATTGATATCCATGATTTTTTCACAGATGTACTTGTTGACTTTGGAGAGTCTCTGTGCAATTTCAGTTTCATCCACAGTTTCTTGTGCTATTCTGTCGTACAAACACTCTAGACAGGGGAAAGGAACAAGATGGCCAAGGATTAATGGTGCATTTAAGTACAATCTTGTAAGGGGGCACAAAGAAAATGTACCTCCTGACATACTTCCCAAATACCAATTCACGTATCTGGCACTGCTGTACGTTTAAATTTTCAATACAAGTGTACTTAGAAAAAAGTAGATATATGCTGTAAGTTTACACTTTAAAAATGATACAATATCCATATGCCCACTACCCAGTTTCATAAACATTATTGGTCCTTCTGATGCCTCTGGATGCCCCTCCCCAATCCCATCGTTTCCTCACCCTCCCCAGATGTAAGCACTCTCCTGGATTTTTTTTTTTTCTTTTCTTTTTGTGTTATCACAAATGTACACATTCTTATATAATGTATTGTTTACTCTTCCCTGTTTTTTTTTAAATAATTTTTTAATGTTTATTTATTATTGAGAGACAGAGAGAGACAGAGCATGAGCATGGGAGGGGCAGAGACAGGAGGAGACACAGAATCTGAAGTAGGCTCTAGGCTCTAAGCTGTCAGCACAGAGTCCGACACGGGGCTTGAACTCAGAAACCACGAGATCATGACCTGAGCCGAAGTCAGACACTATACCAACTCAGCCACCCAGGCGCTCCTACGCTTCCCTGTTTTTAACTTTTTTACAGGTATATCCGTATCTTATACATCTTTCTTTTTCTCACTCAACATTACATAAATTTCGTGATTTACCCAAGTTGAAGTGTGTGGCTACAGGTCAATCATTTTCACTGATGGGCAGTGTTCTCTGGAGTGGACTGTTCCACAATTTGCTGATTTTACTGTCAACGGACACTCGGATTGTTTCCAGTGTTTTGCAATTACAAACACCCTGGTGCGTGTCTCATGGGGTACACATGCAGGAAATTCTCCAGTGAGGGCCAAGCTGTGGCAATGCTCAACGCTAGGGTGTGTGCATACTCAACTTTACTAGGTGATGTCTAGTAAATTGTTTTCCAAAGCGGTTGTGCTGCCTGGAACTCCTGACAGTAGTGTATGCCAGTACTGGTTGCCTCATATCTTCAAAAGCACTTGACATTGCCCGGTTATTAAGGTTTTGACAGCCCGGTGGGTGTGAAGTGGTATCTCAACGTGGTGATTACTAACGAGGCTGAGGTCGGCCGCTCTTAGTGAGTCTGACATTTGCTGTGATGAAACAAAGAGTGAGCCCCAGACAAGGCCTGACAGGAGCCTGACTTCTGGCCACTTTCTAGCCTGGGCACCTGAGGCAAATCATTGCCCTAGATTCCTCACCTGCTTACCAAGAACAACAAACCACAGGTTATCTTTAAGGCTGCCATGAAGCATGCGAGATAAACATTTTGCAAGCCTTCTTCGAACCGTAGAGAACATTACACCTGTATGGAGTTGTTACAATTATTTTATGTACATACACCTGTCCACTCCTGGGGCCTACCACAGTGCTTGCAGAGGGGCAAGGTTCAGTAAATATATGTTAAGTGAACAAATGAATAGTTTTCCAGAGAAACTCCAGAGGTCATAAAAATTCTGGACATAAGGGGACTACGCATGGAGAACGTACCAGTGGAGTATATAAACATGGCCAAGAATTTTAACTTCTTTGAACCTGCGCTTCCTCACCTATAAAACAGGAATGGAGACCTACTCTTAAGGAGTTGCTATGGAGGGTAAACAACATCTTGTCTACCAGGCCAGCCCAGAGCAGGTAATCCTGCTGGAGGTACAGAATGTCAGCACTCGATGGGACCGTGGGGACTAACACGTGCTGACCCCTCCTCTGGCATGTGGGAAAGCAGAGGCCTGGAGAAAGTACGGACAGAGCCCACTGTGCCTTCCCCAACGCTGAGCTCTTCCTGGGTGTGCAGCCAGCCCGCCTCCGGGTGCCATCCACACTGCAGGTGCATGTGCTATGGGCATCCCGGGTCCCGGGCACCCTCCCCTCCCCACTGAGAACGGGTTTGCACAGAGAAGCCTTTAAAAGCTTTTGGTTGACCTCCACTACTCCCTGACTACTCCCAAGCCACTTATCTCCACTTCATCTTGTCTTGGCCTTTCCACAGGGACTGAGACAAGAAGGTAGGAGGCCCGGTCTCTCTCCAGTCCTGCCTTCTGCTAAGTCTACCTGCAATTCTCTCCTGCTCCAGGCTATCCAACAAATCAGTGTCTTTGACAATCTCTTTCCCAATTACCCTGGCTCCATCCTTCAGCTGCCTAAATCCTATTCATCCTTCCAGATTCAGCATCCCTGGGGCCTACCAGATCATACTGGGAGACCCCATTCTGCTGATTGCCTCTGCACCCCCACACTTGCCTGGCTCTCTGTCTCAAAGCACTGATCATGGTCTAATAAAACTGTGACCAGTGCCTCCCCTACAGATGGGAACGCTTGGACAGTCTGTCTCCAGCCCTGAGCCGGGAGGAAGCAGATACTCACGGTGACTTTGCTGGAACCTGAACCAAGTGAGGGAGACAACTTGTGCTGAGAACTGTTTCGAAGTTCAGGAGTTCGAATCTGGCTCTTGCCCTAGTTGCTGTGCAACCTCTAAGTGGGAATCAGTCTGGGTCTCAGTTTTACCATCTGTAAAAGTAGGATGGCAAACCACATGATCCAAGGAGATTCTTCCAGTGCTAAGTCTTTAGCTGTCTGGAAGGTAGTAGGGTGGTAAAGAGGCTGAGGAGAGAGAAGGGGAGAGAAGGAGAGTGGGTGTGATGGCCCTTGGAGCACTGGCAGGGGTCACAGAAGAGGCAGGAAGAGAAAGGGGCAAATGCAGGAGTGTTTTCCAAGAGGCCTCCCCAGCATCCCAAGCGTTCCTGTGTCTCAGGGGCAAGAGCGCTGAGCGGCCCCTGAGGTTGATTAAAGGCTTTGTTAGACTCTAGGTATTAATCACCTGCACTTGCCGGGAATGTCTCCCTCTGCGAGGGAGCATTTGAGATTATTGCTTAATTAACGAGGTTTATAACAGCACTAATGTGTCCTATTAAAAAAGTTATAAAAATTATCCAGAACTCAATGCTGTGGCTCATTTAGGAAACTCAGACATTCTGCAAAAGGTCATTTGACCTTAATAAGGTTTAACTGTCATTCTGGAGCTTGTCATTAAAGAGAGACTCTCCTACGGCCCTCCTGCTCTGCTTTCTGCATTTGCAAGCGGTATCAGTGCTCACCATCCTGCTGCCATCAGGTCAGGAAGGACTTTAAAATCCTCAAAGACATGAGAAAATCCCTAATGAGCAAGGGCTGTCATTTTTGTACAGCAAATGTGACTAAGTGTGGTAAAAGTGAAATAAACACACACAATCTCAAGCCACAGATCTCCTGCTTGGAAGGACCAGTCCAGGGCAGTCTGGAGGAGCTCATATAATTGGGGTAAAAATGGTGAGTGTATGGTGGGGTAGGGGACGGACTTCCAACCTGCCTGCTTGTAGTAGAGAAAAAACCAACACTGTACTTCGGTATGACAAGAAACCTCTGGGACGAGGAAGTCGGACTCACTCTGCCCAGCTCCGACCTAACCAGTTGTATGGCCTTGGGCAAGTCACTTTCCTTCTCATTCGCCTGCATGGCAAGCATTTCTGGGCTCTCAGCGTTGCTATATGAGGCCCCTGGGGGGCAAAGATACCGCAAAAAGAGACCAGAGGTGACCACAAGGGGCTCTGGGACATATGACAGAAGTGTCCACTCACCCTAAGAAGTCAGGGAAGGCTTCCTAGAGGAAGGTTCTCCTAAGCAGATCCGGGTGGTTAGAGCAGCTAGCCAGACAAAGCAGCGCAGGTGCAGGGTGGGTAGTTATGACATGTGGTCTGGGCCCCAGGAATGGCCCTTACAAATTCCCTAACGTGAGAGGGAACAAGGCTTGTTCAGGGAGTACAGTAGTTCATTAGGGCAAGAACTCTAGGGGAATACTGCTGAAAAATAAAGCTGGAGCAATGGCCAGGAGCCAGGCTATAAAGGTGCTTTTGTGACATGTTAAGAAGCTTACCTTTTAATAATGGGCACCATGGGCTGGCTGTGACGGGGTGGTGGTGACAGGATCATGTTTGGTTTCTTAAGGATCACTCTGGTTATATAATGGAGAGAGAAGTCTGGAAACTGCCGGAGTATTGTAGGGGAGAAATGATGGCCTATGAAAGGTGCATGGGGCAGGGAGAGAAGTGGGTGGTTTAAGACATATTTGGGGGCAGAAGAGACAAAACGAGGCATGTGCAGGAGTCGAGCATGGGCATCTCGGGGTACCTGCTGGTGGTGCCCTTCACCAAGACAGGGAATCCAGAAGGGGCAGAAGGCTGTGCAGAGAGGAAAAAGGAGAGAGTGGTGAGGGGCACAGTTGTGCCAGTGTCATGGGGGAACCTGTGAGCTGTGAGGAGACGGCCAGTGGGCACCTGAATGTATGGTTTGGGAACGCAGAAATGTGGACTGAGCCAAGGATAGATTTGGGAACATCATTCACTGATTTAGCAAATGTTTACTGAGCACTCACTACCTGCTAGCCCTGAACAAGATACTCATAAAGCTTATATTCTAGTGGGCTTGTGGGGGGTGGGGGGGTGGGGAGGCAATTCCCAAGTAAACAAACAAGAAATGCTATGCAGACACTTTATGTAGGGTGATGCTGAGGTGACAGAGAACAATGGAAAGGCTATGCAGATGGGGCCGCTGGGAAAGGCCTCTCTGGATGGCCAGAAGGAGGCGGGATTGCAGGGCAGACGGAGGACACTGCTGACAGTGGGAATAGGAAGGTGGTAGGAGGCCCCTGTGATTAGAGCATGGTGGAAAATGGGAAGTGAGGTGTCAGCAGAGGGCAGAGGGGTCCCCAGAGGCCAGATTGCCAGGCGTGAGCCAGGACAAGGAGTGTGGGTTTCAGCCTGGGCCCTGGGAACAGTGGGAAGTGAGATCAGCTGAGGAAAGCTTTGTGGAGAGAGAGGACACTCTGGGGACAGAGGACAGGGCAGCAGAAGTGGAGCCCACAAGGGGGATGTGAAGCCAGGGAGGCAGGAGGAAGTCGAACATGTGTTACTGAGGAAGTCCTCAGTAAAGGAGGAATGAGTGGTCCCATCAGACAGTCTGGGGAGGAGGTGAAAAGTGTGCCCCAGATCTGGTAAGGCGGAAGTCCATGGGAAACTTGGCAAGAACAGACTAGTAGGGGGCTAGACTAGGGGGCTAGGCCCCCTCCGACAGACAGCAGGGGCATCACAAGTGAGCACAGGCAGTGAGTGTAGACAACTCCTTAAGAGAGCTGGATGTGAAAAGGAAAAGGGAGACATGGAGCAACCAGGTGGTTGAAGTGGCCTCCAGGGAGTGTTTTGTTTGTTTTCATAAGAAACAAGTGGTCAAAGTCTATTTAAATGACGCTGGGAAGGAAGTGGGAGGGCAGGAGCATAATTGGAGGAACAAGGTACTTAGGAAGGCAGGTGGGCTGGGATCCGGATAGAGAGAATGGATGGCCCCAAATAAGAGAAGGAAACTCTTCTTCTGGGACATGGGGCAGAAGAACAGACGGTATAGTTAGGTCTGTAGTTAAGCCTGCAGTTTGAAGCTGTGGGAGTTCCTTTTCTTTTCTCTGTGAAGGAAGAGAAAAGGCCATCTTCTGGGAAAGAGAGGTGTGGACTATCATGTTTGGCAAAGCAGAGGAAGTTTAAAAAAGGCTTGGAAAATAGGGGAGTAGATCCGTGAGGGAAACCTGGGGGACTTGGCAGGGAGGCTGAAGACCTAATGGCCCAATGCCACACAGCTGACAGGTTTTCTAGATTGTTCTGTAGCACTGGGGACCCGGTTAGCTGCACAGGACATCATCCGAGTAGGGTTTAAGGAACATTCAAAATGTCTCTTTTGGCCACTGGGTAGCCAGGACAAAGACCACAATCCTGGCTTTATTGATGGAGACACCAAACATGGGCTTGGTTGGTACTGGCATTGCGCTAGGCTTGGAGAAACAAAAGTGAATATAGTATAGGAACCAGGGTTAGCTCCAAGTTAAACCAAAGCAGAGCTGGGGCTCAACCCCAGGCTTTTGATACTGGGTTCCTACTGCTACTTGCCATCACCCTGCACCGTGAGTGGATGGGAGAGAGCCTGCAAGCTGAGAAGTACTGGGCATTAGTGAACTTCAATGGTGTGATCATCACAAGGTCACATCGGCTCGATGGAGGCAGCTCGCTTGTCAAGAAAGATTGCTAATTTCTTGTCATACTTAGAACATAACTATTTCCAAGCTATGATCCTAGGCAGCCCTTTCAGTTGTCTTAAGAGGTTAAGTTTTCAGCTGAGGAAACTAAGACACAGGGGGGAACTGATTTACAAGAAATCACAACGAGGCTCAGTCCAGGGATCAGCTTGCCAGTCTCAGTGTTTCATTTGTTCACACTTCATTTATTGAGCTCCTACTGTGTGCCATTCCCTGTGGTAGGCAATGAGGATGTGGAGATGAATCAGATAAGGTCAGACCAGTGCCTGAGGCAGGCACACAGCAGATGATTTTAGACCACGACAAGATGATGGGGCCAGTCAGGCACTGGAAGGCACCTGGGACCTGCTGAGTCACATTCCAACAAGTATAGTGGAATCAGAGGTTGGGCACCTATTTGGTGGGGCAGGGCCACATCCCCAGGAAGGCCTCTTCCTCAGGGAGACCTCCCAAATGGGGATCCATTATTTCAGAAAGCAAGCAGACTAAAGGTTACCTCCAACTGTCTAAAAATAAGTGGCTGTTTAAGTGAATTAGTCATGAGTCGGCCAGGCAAGGAAGGCAGCTCTGCTCCAGCAGAACAAGGCCCACACTAGAGCCAGGGTGGTATGGGTTTGAACTCTGTAGCTCTAACCTGGCTGATCACTTAATCTCGCTGAGTCCTGCCACCTTGACCTCCAAAGCGTACCCTAAATCTGGCTTTTTTTTCCCACTCCCACTGCTATAACCTTAGTCCACGGCACCATCATCTCCATCCAAGACTACTGCACGAGTGTCCTAACTGAGCTCCCATTTGGTCACTCCACAATCTGCCCTTCTCCTATGGATAGAATAGATCCAAGCTGCTTAATGTGGCTTTTTTGGCCCTTGAGAACAGCTCTCACCCACCTCGCTGACCTCGCTCTCCCCTCACTCATGGCTCCGTGGCTGTCTGGAGCTGCCTCATCCCTGGAGTGTGCTGGCCTTTGTGCCTCTTTACTCTGCCTGTTTTGCTGCCCCTGAGACCTCCACAGGGCTGCCTCCTCCACCCCTAGTTCCCAGCCTCCTCAAGCAGGCCTGCTCCAACACACCTAACACAGCCCTCTCTGTCCTGCCGTAACATGTAATGATGCTTCATTACCTTCCTTCATCAGTACCTGAAATTATCTGACATGTATGTTGTCTGTCGCAGAACCTGGCGTGGGGCCTGCTCAAAATGTACATGTTGATGGAATCTACTTTCTTTACTGAAACATGGCAGCTGGACACTTAGAGACCAGTAGTCAGGAGCACGGCTTCTGAGGCCCATGCAGTGACCCCCTTCCCAAGGAATCCTTCCTTGATTTCCTAGCTAGGGGGTCTCCTCCCCTTCTGAGATCTTTCTCAGCATGTCATCTACCCTTCTCTCATGCTAGCAACTTGAACTGTGCTTGTGTCCACGGCTCATCTTCCGTTAAACATGAGCTCCTCTGGGACAAGGTCCATACCTGCTCTTGTGTTCTGTGCCCGGCCTGGGGCCTGGCATGGAGAGGCTTCAGTGTCTGCTGAACTAAACTGTGTCTAGTACATTCCACAGAGTACAGGACAGCATCTCAGCCATTGCGTTTGTACTGCAGTGACCTACCTCTGACAATGCTTAGTTTGTGAGGCGAGAGGGGTGGCTTAGGGACTGCATCTTTCTTTTTTTTTGTGGCAACTCCTGTGACGCTTCTGTTCTTCAGAACATCTGTTCCCCAAATCATGACTGCCAAGTTCTTTGTGTACTTGGAATCTCCTTGGGTTACTTGTAGCTGGTGCCATTTCTCCTCATCAACCCAAATCCCGCTTCCCAGATGGACCTGAAAGAGATAAGAACACAAGCACCTGTGTAGTCGGACAGGCTGGCAGTTGGAAACTTTTCTTTTCCTTTAAAAGACACTGCTGCACACCCATAAGAGGCTCATTCCATAAACATCATGTTAACTTTCTTTAAGGGAAATAATAATCATTTACCGAATCCCAATAATGCACCAGGCCTTATTCGAGTGCATTATACCCACTCTCTCAAATCTTCGTGGCAACCCTGGAAGGAAGGTGTTGGGATACTATTTTCATTTCCGATGGAAAAACCGGGTTGAGAAAGGTGAAACCAGTTGCCAAAAGTCACTCAACTATTATGTTACAGGGCTGGGATTCTAAACATACTCATGTTATAACAGGGCCACTTGGAGCCCGAGCAAATCTCAGAACGTGTACGTTTCACTTCCTTCTCTGTTACACTTTAGAAAGACTTCTCTCCCTTTGCTGTGAACATGCTGGGGCACAAATCCCAGCATAGTGGTTCCCAACAGTGGCACACGCTGGTGCCTGGGCCCCATTCCCAGGGATTCTGAATTATTACTCTGGGTGGGACCTGGGTACAGGGGTAGGTGAAAGTTCCCTAAGTAATTCCAATGTACAGCTGAGTTTGAAAACCACTGCCAGCTGGAGCCGGGAGGACAGCCACCAGACTCCACCATTAACTGGAGTGTGTTTGTGCAAGTCCTTTCCTACCTCTAGCTTCAGTTTCCCATGAACTAAACTGGGAGAGTGGGATTTCATCTCTAAGTTCCTTCTGGCTCAGAACACCTATGATTTTGATAAATTAAATACAACCACAGTGTCCTCAGTCTGATTCTGTTCTGATGGAACAGAATACGGCCTAGCGCTCCCTGGAAGGGAAGGTCTCAGAAGGTTTCAGGGCAGAGTCGGTAAATGTAAGACGACTCAGAACGATCTAGCAATAAGCTATAGGCTTTCAAATTTTTTCTCTTTTCTGGCTCTTTTAACAACTCAAAAACCATTTGCTAATCATTAAAAAATGGAGTTTTGACTTCGACACTGCCATTTATGTTGTGTTTCTCCTGAGTCTGTGGAGGGTGGAAATGGCCTCTGTGGAGAAGGAGGGGAGGCAGCTGCTAATGAGCTGAACTTTCTAAGGGTAATGAAAGAGCTCTGCCCAAAGTCCTTGTCTTCAGAAAGAACCGTAGGTCAAAAACATCATGTGGTCAGGAGACCTCTTGGGAGAGGTCCTGGCCTTAGAGACCGCACACACCCCCACACTGATGGCAGACTGGCAAGAACCACCGTTCAAAGATGGCTGAAGATCTTTCTACTGAAGACTGGCTTAGAAAAGAAGGTGGGTACACACAGATGGGAAGACAGGTCAGTCAGCAACACTTCTTCCTTCACCAATTACTGAGGTTTTTCAGCCATCCAAAACGGAAAACAAAATAGCCCAGCAACACAGCCCACTCACGGATGTCAGCAAGTAACCAATCCACCTGGCCTCATCTGCCTTCACTTTCTTTTGCTCACAAGATCATTCAGATCCCTGCAGGCCTGGTGTCAGGTAACCAGATCCACCTGGTCTTCCTGTGCTGCAAATTTCAGTGCCGCAAATCTGTTCATATGGCTCAGGAAGATAAGCAACCCTGGAAGTGAGATGTGCTGCCTGGGGCCAGCTGGGCAACACTGATCCAAGGTCAAGTCTGGCCTTTCCTCTGCAGTCTGAACCGCAGGTGGGCAGTCTGTGTGCCAGATCAGGCATGCTGGGGACAAGTTTCCTGCTGCTCCCTGCTGGGCCCCAAGTCACCTCCCTCTGATGACACTCTGAAGCTACCTCACAAGCTTCCTGAGATAAGGGGGAAACAAGGAATCTGAATTAGATTAAATTCAGAATTAGAAAACCTTAGAATGGAAGACAGCGTCCGTTTTTCAAAGATTTCTGCTCTTTTCCACCCTGGGCCTTGCTTTCCTATAATCTTTTAATTTATTATTCTTAAAAGAGAGGGGACAGTCATTTTAGCCCATGTTCTGCTAGAGAAGGGGGACACTAATATTTTTTGAGTACCTATAATGAACCAGGTATTGTACCCTCAATTTATCTAATCCTCATAATGACCTTAAGAGATGGAAATAGGTAGCAGTTATTATTCCCACTTTACAGACACGAATAGAGATTCAGAAGGACTAAATTACTTTCCGTAAGACATACCAGCAGTAAATTTTGGAGTCAAGATTCAGACCCAAATCTGTATGGCCCTAGAGCCCAAGTTCCCCAGGCCTTCTGCTGCTGCCAGTGTCACAGTGGTGCCAACGTGGTGGACACATAGCCTATCTAACATATCTATATTCCATGAGGTTTCTTTTTGAGTTTTCCTCTGTGCTGGCCCAGCCACTTCCCCTGCTGGCACTCACTGCACGTCACTACGGCAGACAGGGAAACCAGAAGAAGCCATGGGCTGGCCTTCCTGCCTCTGGTCCCTGCTCCCTTCAACTCACCCTATAAACACTGCCAGATTAGTCTCCCTAAAACACAGCTTTCCTTCTTTGACTAGATTACTTCCACAGTCTTTCAACTCTGTGTTTCTGTGTGAACACTCTGGAATCTTGAATGGCTCCCTCTTTCCTATCACATCAATCTAACCTCCCCAGTCATCTTTAGAGGCCCTCCAGAATCCTCTTTCCATTCAACTTGCTAGCCTTTATTCTCCTGCTATGCCCATCATGATAAAGCTTGCAAACTCCCGCATTTCCTTCTACTTTCAGTGTGTGGTAACAGAAAAGGGGGTGCTGGAGTCTTCAGCCCTAGGTGGCAATTGGCTAGTCACTTTACCTGAGTCTCACTTTTCTCAGATGGACAACAGGCAGAACACCACCTAACGCAAAAAGCTGTTCTGAGGATTATATGACATAACATGAATAAAACGTCAGGAGGACAGCACACCCCCAACCCACCCCCCAGCTATGTCTCCACTGATGCCTTTCCCCTGTCCAGAAATGAATGCCTTCGCTTATTTCTTCTTAAGCCTGCTAATCTTCCAAGCCCCAGTCCCAAATCCAGGAAACACTCTTTAACTCTCCATGGCTAAGTTCTATCCCCTCTGAATTTCTAGCCTTCTGTGAGCCTTCACCACTTGATTCAGTCCTTCACAGTACATCTCCATGGGGACGCATTGAGGCTTTGCCTCTTTGGTCCCGTTCAAAATGATCAGGACTAGTCTGAACACAAAGCAGGAGAAACAGAAGGGCACATTTAATATGTTTTAATGGCACAGGCTTTCAGTTCTGATGAGCTGCTTTTCCTTAGAGAAGAAAATATTTTCTGACATGAACTTGAGTACAAGGCCAGCTTTACAGCACAGAAAGAAATGGCTCTGGGTAAGACCAATCACAGGTATATGTTGGGACAAGGGCTCCCGAGGTCAGCAAAATAAGGGTCACCTGGAACAATGCCCAGTTTTCAGAGATGGAGCAGAATAGACTGGAAAGAGCACTGGCCTGGGAACCAGGAGACCTGCCTTCCAGTCTGTTTGTTTCCTACCTGTTTGTTTCTAGCCTGTTCTATAATTACAGAGGAGCCCTTCTCTGGATGTGCTTCCCCAACTATGCCATTTATAAATTAGACTATGTAAACTTTAATAGTCTTTGCAGCTCTAGGATTCAATGAGGTTTTGAGATAAAGAAAAGCAATGAACTTTATCAAAATCAGAAAGTAACTTTTGCGGCAAGCCCTATTATACACATAAACCATTGTTAACTATTTGACCATAATGTTAGCCTTATGTGTCAAGGGAGGTTTTAAAAATATGGCATCTGGCAGGATGGGACTTGATCAAAAAATGGCTTTGTGAAATGTTTTGTAGGACAAAACTAGTTTCCTACTAGGAAGTGGATCCCATTCTAATGCTCTAGGCTTTGCAGAGATTAAGGCTTTTGTTCATGCAGGCAGAGAGAAGAGAGGGTCAGAAAGGATAGCAGAGCCAAGAACAATGAGGACGAGGGAATGCTGCTCTGGGAAGCTGCCATCCATTTCTAGTCTGTCCACTTCCTTTCCTCTCCCTTCATAAATTTCTCTGTCGAGCTTCATATTAGTTGCAAACAAAAGTCAGGTTAGTTTTACAGCAACACGTTGGCAACAACCAATGAAAAAACAATACTGGCAATTTCAAGATTTGTTGTGCAACTCCCAGGGAAACATTAAGTGAGGTTTGAGACACCCATTTTCTGGAAATGGAAAAATGATACCTTTGCAAAAGAGGCCCCCAGAATACTCAGAAACTGTCCATCAGTTTTCAAAGGAAGAGAGAAATAGTGTTCTCTTGGAAGCTACTTTAAGAAAAAGTCTCTAGTCACCGTACAGTGCCGTCGTCACTAAAAAGGAATCAACAAACACAGAATGGTCCTTTCTTTTCTTTATCTTCAATTGGGGAAGATTCACCCAACTTAGATACACAGCTGGAGTGACTACAGGCCCATGGAGAGCATGAATCCATCCCTCCTCACACAGATCCGGGCACCGAGGCCCAGCAAAGAGAAAGATCCACCCGAGCAAAGTTACACAGAAAGGACAGAGACAGAGCTATGCTGAGCATTCGGGTTCCCGACTGCCTATTTCCACTCTGGCATGCCACCTCTCCCCTGCAAAGCAGACTTTTAAAGCCTGTTGGCTGGAGCAAGTCAAGACAGAATGGGCGATGACCTGGCCCATCAGTTCTGCCTCTGCAGGGGAGGAAGTGCTCGGTGGGAGATGAGGGAATGGCAGCATATCCAAGAGAGCCCTAAAGACTAACAGGTTTCATTTCCTCAGCTGACAATATTTGTTTTTTGCCTCAATCTGGCCAGTTGCAAGGATATATCTGGACAAACCCAAATAAAACAACCTTTTCTTTCTCATCAGCCCACTGGGGAACAATACTGGATAAACAGAGAACTTTTGAAGCACGAGGCAAGAAAAACAGACTGACACAGATGATTCTTTGGGGAGAATGAGAGGTGATGTCTGTACTGTATGCCAGGGTGGCAGAAATATAACACTAAAACTGAATTTGACCAGTGCCTACACAAAGGGCTCCAATATACTTCTTCCAAGATGAATCCATTTGGATATCAGAAGGATGTTAGAACATTTTCTCCCTGCCCAGCTGCTATGACACGTGACTTTAAGACTTCCAAAGGCTATTCCATTAGTTTTCACCCCTGTACTAATAGAATTAATAATGCTTAAGTTTTCTTTCATGACTTCTTTTTTTTTCAATAGCCTTACAAGGAAATCTGAGAAGTTATATGTGGTCCTAGGACTGTGGCCTAACCACTGTTTGAATATACAGCTTGGAAACAGCTTAGGGACAAGGAGCGCTTCTCATTTACCAGTTTATCCTTGGCATCTAGCACAGGGCTTAGAACATATAGATACTTCGCGAATGGTGAACAGATACATATTGAGTTGTTCTCTGTCATTCAGGTGTATTTCTGGTACACCTTATAAATTTTATGTGTCTGGTTTTTATAGGAGGGTAGGACAAGTTTCATCAAACCACCCTGCCTTTTTAAATCTTTCTCACTACTAAGCTATTTAAAACGTCAGTTTAGTTTTATACTTGCTTTGGCCCAGTATTTAAAAAAAAAAAAGGGAAGAGAAAAAGAACAAGTCCCAGTTTAGCTCCACTAGTTACAACACAAGAACTCTGGAAATAGTTACTGAGGCCTGGGCCAGGAGGCCAAGTGGCCACGCTGGGTCTCAGGAAGCTCCCACCAAACTCTCCATCGTCACTCTGACTAACAAACACTTGCAGGGAATGGATATTGAGCTTGAAACACTACCTTGCCATTGTCTAGGATATACTTGTCCATGACAGGTGCAGGAGCGGGGTAATAGGACGACGTATTTGCTTCCTCACTGAAAGTGCTCCGTAACTCCGGCTCGGGCTCGAGACATTCTGACTTTACTTTTTCCAAGTCAATGGCGGGACCTAGGCAGTTAAGAAAAGAGATCTGTCTAGAACTCCAAGGACAATAAAAGGCAAATATTTTTAACTACGCATCTATCAGCACACAGTGGCACAAAATAAATATGCTGGTTTATTTTTTCCGTTGGACTACACTTAAACCCAGGCTTGAAAATAATATGAGATACGAACGTCACAAGGGAAAAGGTAGGAAATTGGAAGACAAGAATGAACAAGACTCTAATTAAGTATGAATGAGAAGTGGTCTTTGAGGGTGTCATTGTCTGAATGGAAATGCAGGGGAATCAACTTCCTGGTCAGAAAAAGAGGTCCTGTTAAGACTGGGGTGCACAAGGGGTGGCAATCGCTGCAATATGCAAAGTGTGTATTTGCTAAAACCCCACTTCTGCAGCCTGCAGTGGAGCGGGCCACAGCCTAAGAACAGAGGTTAGGAAAGCAGTGGGGACAAATGCAAAGGCCTCCCTCTCCCTAAGACCTAGTATCTACCTAGACAGGAGCATTTCAACCAAGAAATTAAAATACAATACAGATTAAGCTTCTGATTGCCTATCTAGCAGCTACCCTGATTTCTATTTTAATGCAATCAACACAAATTACGCGCAGTTTAAACAGTGAAAGGAAGCTAGATAAATGGTGGTGGTTTCTAAGGGGAGTATTTTTTCTTCTCCATTAAGCTTTTAAAAATGATGGACTATTTTTTAAATCACCTATTGTGTCTTGATTACCAAAGGGCAGAGAAACAGGATGAAAGTGAGTAAATAAGGCTGAATGACTTGATTAACTTTTGCAGGAGAGCAACTCCAAAGGCCAACGGAGAGCTCAGTACCCTGGAAATGTTCCCGACACAAACATTTCTTGAGCTGTCTGGGATCTGGGAGTTAGCTACTGCTATAGTGGGTCCCCCTGGGCTATGCTTATACCTGAAGTAACCAATGAATTTCAAGGTCCAATCTTCCCTTATCCTAACTATGTGGATCGCCTGATAAGGAGCTCTTTATACACTAAATTACAATCTGGTTCCAATTCTATGCTCAACTGCCACACCCCAGACTTTGGCTGGTGGCAGAGAAGGTATTGGTGATTTTGTTACTAAAATTCCTCATGACAGGGCTTCCCAGAACAAGAATATCATTCCTGAGTTGCTGGCAGCTACCATCTGTAAGACAGAATCTCTGTAGTCTCTAAGGATGCAAGCATAAGCCTTGTACAAAGCAGAATGCAACATGGCTGGGAAGCAAAAGAGTGCTGATGAAAAAAAATGGTTCATCATGGTAGAGCAAGGTTAGGTCCTATGCCTGGCTCTGCTGTTTTAATTGTGTGACCGCAGGTGAGTGAATTGTAGATGCAGACGTTGGCAGAGTGAAGGACAGACAGCATCAGAACTGTGCTGAGGGCATCTCCTAACACTGTGTGATGTATGTAGGGGCTGGGCCCGGGTCCCACTCTTCTCTTTGCCCCCAGCACCTGGCACTGAGTACCTAGTCTCTGAATGTTTGCTAAATGAATTAAAGAATGACAACAATGAATGAATATTTCTACAGTTTCAGAAGCAGATGCCAAAGTCTCTCTTCTCTCTGTGTGAGATCTCAGGTTGAATTTCTGAGATACAAACTCAAGTGGAGCATTTGATCTTTTCTGAGATCAGGGCAGAGGTAATTACTCCAGTTTCCCCTAAAGGGCATGGCCCAGTTGGCATCTGAAGTCCCTTCCTGCTCTGACATTCAGCAACAGGAAAAGGGGATGGGCTGAGAAGATGAGGTCCCTGTAGCCACTGGCTCACAGGTCATCTTTGGCAAGATTGTGCCCCTCCTCTAAAGTCTTTTTTTCCTTCTAGGAGAGGAAGATGTTGGACAAGAGAATGACTCCAGTTCAGCTCTGACTTTAGTCCGGTTCTCCCCCACCCATCTCCACAATGGCTGCCAAAGAGATCTCCTTGAAACCGTGTCCTTCCTTGCTTACCACCTTCCTTCCTAGTTACCCTCAAAATTAGGTCATACGTTGTAGCCTCCGTAAGGCCCAGAACAACCAACCTCCTCTCTACCCCTGGTGCTCAATTCTTGTTCTCACCTGATACTCACCTCTGCAGAGGGGCCATATGCCATGCTGTCCCGGCCTCTATGCCTTGGAAGTCTCGGCCTTGCATAATGCCACCTCATCTGCCTGCCAAGAATGGAGCTTAGGGGTCCCCTCTGTGAGGCCTTGCTCTGATCACCACCAGGTAGGGGGAGTCTCTACTTTGTAAATACTTCCAGCAAATTCTGTCTGCAATCATCTGCCAATCTGTTGTCTGCATTAGACTGTGAAGCTCTTTGGGGGCAAAGTTTTATTCTCTGTGCAGTCTTGGCAGCCAGAGCACTGGCTGGCACATTGCAGGCTCTCAGTAAATTCTTCGTGACAGGAGGGGAGAGAGTTGGGGGTGGAGGGGTGGGCAGGGACTTAAACAGGCCAGGGCAAAGGTTCTGAAACAAAATCCTGCTGCCGAGTTGAGGTGCTTGGGGGTACAGGCTAGGGTGGGTGGGAGCTGTTCTTAAACTACTGTGACCTTTTGACAGCCCACAAAGTAGAACTTAGGTCTGTCAAGTAGAAATTGGAAACTGCTGACAGAATGGACGATTCCGATGGCTACAGAGGGACATATAAGGGACATGAGGACTGAGGGTTGAGGGATGCTTCTCTGGCTCCATCCTCTGCTGCCCCCTTGCCACATCCCCACCCCAACCTCCCAGTCGGACTCCACTCCAAAGTGCCAGCCTGGCCTTCCCCATGCATACACCATTCCTTCCAGCTTCCCAGTCTGTGCTTGTGTCCCTCCTGCTGTCGGATCAGTCTACCCCACAGATGCCCACCTAGCTGAACTCCACCCGGACCTCAAGGCCTGACTCAAATGCCACCTCCTCCATCTCTTCAAAAGGAGGAAGCTGTTCTCTCCACCTGTTGGCTTGGAATTTGGAGTCAGAGCCTGGAGTTTAAATTCTGGATTCCCCATTTACTGTTTAGGTGAGTTGTAAGCTTCCTCAGGCGGGTGAGCTCTGTCCCCGTGTGGACCCCCCGCCCCATATAATCAGATGCTCTCAGCTGTTTCTAGGCATGTCCCCCCCACTAGATGGTGAGGCTTGAGGCCAGGAAGGGACTGTGTCTTCTTATTTCAGAGACCAGGGCTCAGCAGTGTCTGGTTCACGTTCTACCCTCAACAGGTAATTTCCACATTAATGATTACTTAACCTTCCTGGCCCTGTGGCCTCACTTGAAAGAAGCAATGACAACAGAGACCTGGCGAGACTGAAGATTCAGTGAGTTGACCATATATATGAAATGATTACGCCAGAGTCTGGTGCGGACTGGGTACTCGGTAAACAGTGCTCACCCCTGCTCCACCTCCTTCATACACAAGTTATTCCTGGGTGCTTCAGTTAGCCCACCACTAAACCATGGCCTTGGTGCACAGAGTCCGTCCTGGCACTCCATGGCACACCCACTCTCCCTCGGGCTCATGCCGATCTCCTCAGGGACTGCTGCACTGGGATCTTCTGGCTCCCAGGGAAAATTATTTCCTCCCATTGTCCGTCAGCACCGTGGAGCATCCGGAGGCTGCCAGGTGTCAGTACTGCTCTCTGCAGCTGCCCCGTCTTCAGTACTGTACACAGAAGGTACCTGGCTCCTCAGCCTCAGCCCGGAGGGCAGACCAGCCAAAGGCACATCTTGGAAGAGGTTCCTCAAGGGAACTGGGGGTAAATCACAGCTGCATAACCTCAGACAAATCACCTCACCTCTCTGTGCCTCAGCTTTCCTACCTGCAAAATGTGGATTACCAATAGCCCCCATGCAAGCTGATAATGCCTCTGGAAGAGTCCAGCACTGAGGCAGGCACAAAACAGAGGATCAGGAAATGGCAGATAAACAAAAGAATGAATCCGGGAGTAAAGCAGGGTGTTCCGTATTACAGAATCCAAGAGAAAAGGAACAAAAAAAAAGCGTATGATTTCTTTGGGGAGAAGAGGGAGGGCCTCTAGTGCTTTTAATTTAAGGGAGGGGGGGAGAAAAACATTTCATTGCAAATTTTAGCCGGTTCTACTACCGATGTTGGCAATTTACATCTCATTACAACAAATGCCTCAGATTGCTGTTTTGCTTTTAAAAATTTCTAAGGCATTGTTCTCCTTCAAACACATGTGACCAAATTAGCCACAATAATAAGCACTTGTGCTAAGAGACAGCATTGTACGATCTGGTGCAGATATTTTAAGTAACAAAGGAACTTTTTTCACTTTGTGGGAAGAGTAGGAATTAAAAAGAAAAAAAAAGGCCCTTTGATCTACTTCAGGTTTATTTTGGGGAAAATACACCTTCCATGAAGAGAAGCCTCTCAGCTGGGTAAGGGAAGCTTTTACAAAAGCATAAAAGGTAGTACTTGTCTTTTCATTCAGTCATTCAGGAACCCATTCAGTATGCAATCCCTGAACGCATACCCAGATCTGGGCCCTGTAAGGCACTGGGGACCCGGAGAAAATACAGCATGCCCCAGTTCTGGAGAAGTTGAGAATTTTACATGTGAAACTCCATTTCTTTGCATACAAATAGCTGTGATTTGACAGACAAGCACTGGATTTAGTTAGAAAACCAGGTGCAAGTCCAGGGTCTGTTATTTATTTGACCTCTTTAAGCCCCAGGGGCCTCTTCCATAAAATGGGAATCATGGCACAGAGAAAGCGGCTTGATAAACATTGCCACAACGAATAAATGAAATTATATCTTTCTGGTTTTGTCTGGCTTAAATTAGACTAATGCTGTTCTTCTAAAAACTTTCTGAAAAGTTAATGCTTGTGTGACTTCCAGGAGGTTCAGAAGTCATCCATTTCTTCAAAATATGTGTATATGTTTGAACAGTAGATACCATTTCTGAGTAACAGATGGGCTAACAATATTAGACTTTTCTTAAAACATACTTAATCCTTCCATTTCCTTCTGCCAGTGAACAGGAAGTGTCTCTGCTACAGGTATAATTC